CTATAAAAACCAAAACAACTTTTATGAAGTTTAAATCCGCAGGCCTGTGTTATTTCAAAGAATAGTTTGCTAATGTAAAGACTTAACACCAGATTTTGCGTTTACTTAGTTTATGTGTTATTTACGAGTGTTATAAAATATAACGTATTCCTCTAGAAAGCAGAAAATAAAGCCACGATGAATATGTTAACAAAAAAAAAGGATGAAACAAGAATAAAAAATCTACTTATTTAACATTCCAGTTTATTTCTGATTTTCCTGTTTAAGTGTTTGGATTATTGAAAACAAGAATCGTTATTACAAAATGTTAAAACTTTAATTATTGGTACTTGAAAATAATCTTATTTAGTCTGGCGGCTAGGGCGCTCGACTCGCAACCTTCGTATTGCGTGATCGAAAGCTGTCGCCGAATGCGCACGCCCTTTCAACTGTGGGGGCATTATAATGTGACGGTAAATCACAATATTCCTTTGTAAATTAGGGTATATACCCTTGAGTACTTTTGTACTAAAAATCAACAGACAAACCGCGAAGGTAAAGTTTTACGTGTCCTCACGTGTTTTATCCATTGAGTTACACTCGTAAAATAGACCCACCCGAAAAAATTGTTAGTCTCTATGGAAATTACACTGTTTACGATTTTAAAATGTTTAACATTCAGCATCAATATTTCAGTGCGCTATTACGTCAGATGTTATTACATACTCTGATGGAATGTAAAAGCTCGATTCTTACTCCAACAGCAGTAAGGGGTTTGAATTGTTCTGGAAGTTTCTCCTGCGCTTTCGCTACGAGATTGTCGTGTGAAGACTGTAGAGATAATCGATTTTTGCCTACAATCAGAGTAGAAGGGGTAAACTGAATTGTAAAGAACCATGAGCCTGATACATTTAGGGTCAGTTCTCTCTCTTAACCTAATTATTCCAACAATATCTCACAAAGCATGTGGCAATAAATAAAGACGTATTTTATCTAAAATATATTTTGTTTCTGATAGACTAGAGTGAAGGCACCTAGTCAACACCGCCAACTCTTGGGCTTCTCTTTATCAACGAATAGTGGGATTGACCATCACATTATAATGCCCTCACGGCTGAAAGGGCGAGCAAGTGCTTGGGGACGGCATTCGAGCCCCGCAACCATCAGATCGCAAGTCGATTGCCCTAACCATAAGACCATGCCAGGCCTCTTTTAATATGAAAAAAAAATAGATTTTGGAACTTACAAAATCAAGTTTTAGTAAAATAGCACTAATTTATAATTTATTTATAATGTAGTGTTCACATTGATTTTATCTTACTTTTATCCTTCTTCTACAATATCATTTCGACAGCAAAGGGGAGTGGAACACATCACATAACATATGGACAACGAGGGACCATTTGGTCCTCGAAGGCTTTCTCGGTACATCCACCCTCGTGAAAGAGTAAAAAAAAATAAACTCACTTTTTATTTTTAAAGAAATTATTGTAAAGTGTCAGTCACGACTACCACTGATGACACTTATTCTATGAGCAAATCACCTTTTTACAAAAATATTACTGTCTTAATTGGAGCTTAACTTGTATTTTCCAAATCTTAAGCTTGTGTTCTCTCTCTCTCTCTTCCTGTTGTCTTCAGACTAAAGCACAAAGAAAATAGAGGCTTTTACCCTATCGATCTACCAGATAATCTTGTAAACTTCGATAAGATCACTTCTTTCTCTTCTTTTCTGAAGATACAATACATTAAAAGATCTCTTCCCCCATAGGATAACCATTACATCAACAAAATCATCCTATTAGTCCTGCTCTGAGCCATCTGCAATGAGTCAATACCCTTTCTTATATAGGAAGAACAAGAATGTAAACAGTAATCTAAGTGAAGCCTAACTACTGATTTGTATAGAGATAATTACCGATTTTAACTTCTAAACAATTTATCTTTAGATAGCCCTAAAATGCTATTACCCTTGCTACCAGAAACAGATCATTACTTTAATGGTTTGAGTGATTTATCCATCATTATGCCAAGTCACGCTACTGAATTACCGTCTACGTTAAACAAGTGATCGAAATTATTATGATCCAAATGCATTATCTTGCATTTACTATGATTAAAGGTCATTTGCCAAATATTTTTCCCAATAACCAATTGATTCAAGTCGTTCTGTAATCACTTAACATCCTCAATATGAATAAACATTCACGAGTTTAATATCATCCACAAACTTTACTTATTATGTTCTTATCAATATCATCAATATAAATTAAAAAAAGCAAAGCCCCAAACACCGAATCAATTAGGCACTTCATTAGTAACAGGAGTTATTTTAATTGGAATCCATTAATAACAATTTTTTTATCTCATTCATCCATCCTACAATCCAGGCTTTTCCCAATTTTCACCCGTGTGATTTAATAATTTTTTTAACAGAATCTCTTGTTTTTCCATAGTTTTATAAATTCCCCATCCTATCTACTAAATGTATGCCATATATTCTTCATTTTCTCCTTTATATCTTTAGTAAACAAATTAGGCTTAATCACATATTTTTATGAACGTACCTGTCTTAATTTAAAAACAATTTACTTTAAAAAATTCTAAAATCTGTCCCACATCACCTTTTACTTCATTATTCCAATCCACCAGTGATAAATACGGACTCGTGGTATCAAAAGTAGGTTTCTGAAAACCAAGAAGTATAATTTCATTTTTTTCTAGTTCAACATGTTGAAAACATCAAACGTCATTATAGAATGCCCATTTCTTCAATCTCCAACCCTTGTAGCCATTAGTGATTAACAATCCTCACTACATCCTTACTAGTAGGTTGTCTGACTACTTGGTATAAAATACCAACCTGAATCCCCTCAAGAAACCTTTTTCCTTTACTACCTTACTCAATACAAATCCAATTAGTATGACGTCTAAATTAAAGTCTTTCATCGATAATTTTATTGGCAACAACCATGATATCATCACACTATTTCCCATTAGCATCATTATACTATTTCTCATTAGCATCATCAGTCTGACCAGTTGGCCCAAAACGATTGTAAACTAAGAACTTTCTACTATTGAAGCCCGTGGTTACAAACCTCTTGGATTACCGTTTTTATGTCTTCTTTCCCAAAAGCAAGAATTTCATCCGTTGTAAAAAGATCCATCTTCATCGTTTTTACCCCCCCCCCCCAGTAGCACAGAATTATGTCTGCGGACTTATAACGCTAGAATCCGGGTTTCGATACCAGTGGTGGGCAGAGCACAAATAGCCCTTTGTGTAGCCTTGTTCTTAACTACAGACAAAAACAATTCCTCGTTTTTGTTCTTATTTCTACCAGTATTAAACATTTTAACTTAGAATTTCAAACTAATTCCTACAACCAGTGTTCTTCAAATCTAACCAAGTTTCTGCAATTTCCATTATATCTTATTTCTGACACATTAGAACAATACTAGTAAAATTATCTTTAAATCTGACAGAATTATATTTAAAATTATTATCTAACTTATGTTCTAAATCTAATTACAATATTTTTGTTTCCCTAGCTATCACATCACTTTGTTTATTTCCAATTTCCCAAGCTCCCTTATCACTATGAAAAATTTTCTACTTAACCTGCATAAGTAGATCCCATCTTTAGCATATAATTCACCCTTGCCATGGAAACTATTCCACATGTCAAACTAGTCCAAATGTTGCTCTTAGCATGCCCTTATTAATCTATCATTTAAACCTTGGATCCTGTTAAGTAATTTATTCCTGCATATAGCACTCCCGAAATTACTACAATCAGAAGGAATTATTTATACTTAAACAGCCAAAGGTCTAAATCTATTAGAAACTGGTATACTCATGTACTAACTGACTCTGCCTCTATACCTCTGACATTTTACTATTATGCACCTTTTAAAAGTAGCAATATTTTCAAAACTTCCTCCCAAAGCAACCTTTACCACAAATCTATGAATTTCCAGTCTTTCTTCTTGATTTCTACTACTACTCTGCTATTTTCCCACTCTTATAACACAAATTATACCAATCTTATCCTCAAGTAAGCAGGCTTTGTAAATATGGAGTACTGAATTTTTATGAGCTCTCCCCCTTAAAACCACAGGTAAATTCATAATTTTCAAGTCTAATCTAACCCTTGCATCCATCGCACCCTATAAATTACATTCCACAAATTTCTGAACTAATTATAACCACGCTGAATTTTGCTAACGTTAGTTTTGATTCTCTGTTAATTGTATTATAAATCTACACATCCAGTAATTATAATATTAAGTAAACTCAAACTATTTCATAATTTATTGAATAAATTGTGAGTTAACCTAACACTCACTCCCCTACTAATTATTATTACTATTATTAACTACTTGTACCGTAATTAAAAGATGCACGTTCAGTTACTCTTAATTAACTGCTAGATAATTTGCTAAAGACTTTGCAGCTAAAAACAATAATGGGAACAATAAATTTAAAGTTTAAGTTAAATATATTTTCTTTCTTTATTAACTAACATTTATAACCAACTATCTAAAAACAAACAGTGAAATTAGGCCTAATAATTTCAGTAAACTACTACACCTATTGTCACAACTTTAGGCTTAGTGATGAAACGTAAAAAAAGTATCATTCAAACTAAGCTGAGAGAAATATGATAAAATGGGTTTTATAAACTCTATTTAATACCAAAATAATACTTCTCTTCTAAGTAAAAGTTTATAATATAACTAAAAGTATTGCTAACACCTCTGAGCTCAACAATTTTCTGTCTCTAGTAGTTACATTTTATAAATGTTTGTTTGTTGTTGTTGATGTACACAAACCTACATAATGGGTTGGATATATGTGCTGTACCAACCACGGGTATCGAGACCACAATTTTAGCATGGTAAGTCCTCAGGCTTAACACTCAGCCACAAGAGGACTTGTAAATAGTAGACATACACTCACTTTTAATTAACGTATATATAGAGATTTTTGTGTTGTTCTTGTTCAGTCCACATCCAATATAATCATACGACTCAATGATATTACGTGTACTGCTCAGAAACATACATGGCTCAAGAAGTTGACAGAAGCTCTGTTTTAATTTGAAATATTTTATTCTTTGCCTCTACTCTGCTAAAGAAGAGAGTTACTTTTACTTCATTTTATATGGTAACGATAAAGAAGTAAAAACGAACGATCAGACGACGACGGGAGAAATCACCCATGGCTCGATTAAGGTCAACATTATATTCTGTCTTTTTTTGAAATGCTATCAGATTGATGATTTATTACATTATGACAAAAGTCAGATTGAAGAATTCTGTTGAATACGCCCTTCGGTTACTGTACCTGCAGTTATGTATCCTTAAACAAAATATTCACATCTCGGTGGTTCAGCGGTAAGTCTCAAGGCTTATATCGCAAAAATTCGGGCTTCGATACCGTTGGTGTGCAAAGAACAAGCAACCCATCGTGTAGCTTTGTGATAACAACAAACAAACAAAATATTATTTGCAACCTTTACTGTGAACTCAGTTATACTGTATATAATGACATATGTTATTGGTTTTTTTTTTACTGTTAAACAAATACAAGTCTATTTTATTTTGTAGCAACTGATTTAATTCAGAAGCGGATCAGAGTTGTTACATCATTACTGAATACCAACGATATTGTAAAGGTATTTTCTTGATTATATCATTACATATATCCTTTCGATCCTTTGAATAACTTAAAATAAACAATAGCATTATAAGAAACATTAAATTCACTGTAGACAAAAGACGAGAACATTTACATGTATTAATAAATAATTAATAACCAGCTCAATTTACAATATCAAATATAAGGATCAATAAGGAGAAGTCAACAACAAAAAACAAGTGAGATAACGAAACACAATAGTCAAAAGATTGAAAGAAATTTGAGAAATGGGGAGGGAAGGAAGGCAGAAAGAGTCCGAAATAACTTCCCTAGATTTCTTAATTCGTTTATGTGATATTTATTAAAGAACTAATAGCTGCAGAAAGTAACAAAAGTGGTTGTTACAAGACTTTGGAAACTTGAGATAAGAGGGAGAGTGTATATAAATATAATTAATGGAGAATAACACGGGAATAATGGCACCACTGAAATAATTCTTATCTGCATAAATGGGTGATTGAAGCAGAGAAGATCCACAAGCAGTCGCGTTGCACACGCCAATAACCCGTACTGGAGTTTTACGCTTGTATAAAGAGCCAGTTTAAGCCACAAAAGATAAGGTGCCGTCTGAAATTTCGTGACGCAGCAAATTTGACAGACTAATTCAATTTTATACTCGTATTTTTGTTTGTGAAATGAATTTCTCACACTTGAAGCTGAAAGTGAATGTAAGTAGCTAAAATACTATTTAACCAAAGATTATTCAGTAAATCAGTTAAATTAGTTAA